GAGAGAGAGAGAGAGAGAGGCGACTGCGGCGAGCACGCAAGGGCGCAAAGACCATCACCAGCGGTGGAGGAGCTGCCAAGGCAGTAAAGGAAGCAGAAGAAAAGGAAGCGGCATTCCGGCCGCAGCGGGGCATGCTTCTCAAAACCCGCCCGCTCTCTGCTTCTCAACTCCTTTTTTTTTCTTATTCTAAGAAGGAAATAACCGCAGACGCCCATGCAATGCCGGTGGCTCACAGCGCCGCCCGCTTGCCGTCCACCGCCTGCAGCAAAGCCTGCAGCTGCTTCTCGCGCATCTGGTTCACGCGCTGCACGTGGCGCGCCACCTCGGCCTTTGGCATCGACCCCGCCGCAATCGGCGTCCCACGCACATCCCGCAGCCCCATCACCGCCGACACCACGTGACTCAGACCCTGCTGGCTAAACCAGTCACGCACGGCGGAGTCAAACTTTGACGCACTCGCGCGGTCCATCAGAAACGGTGGCGGGGCCGCCTGCCGGCCCAACGAACCCGTCATGGCCTGGTGTATCATTGTTTGAATCAATTCGTCCTCCTCCCCCTTTGTGCCGCCGCCGGCTGCGGCTGCGGCTGCGGCGGCTGTTGCTGCGGCGTTTGGGCCCCCCGCCGCCACAGCACGTCGAAACGGGGCCACCTCCTGCATCAGCACACTGACGGTGTCAAACACGGCACAGCGGATGTCGTAGGGGGCGTACGGGCAAAGCCCCAAGTCGAGGAGGGCCCGTACGCCGCCGTGCTGCACGATGCGGGTTAACGCGAGTGGGTTGTAGTGGCACGCCGCCTCCGCCGCGTCGATGCTGGCCACTATGACAGTCTCTAAACCAAAGACAAGCTGAACAGGCCCTTCCTCCATCAATGGGGCGGTGGAGGGCGAGGTATCCCCTGTCTTTTCCAGCGCCGCATTGCGGCGCCGCCGGCTAAAGAGGGCCTGTATGTGCTGCAGGCAACACTGCCAAACCTCAACGAGATACGTGATGAGGGGGCCCTCCGCCACCACGCGACGCTGGTCGTACACCACCAGACTTAGGCCCTGCAACAGCCGCAGCGCCAGTTCCTGCTCCTGAAAGGTCACTTCCGTGAGCGTCACATTCGGCGTCTTTTTCCGCGCCGGCGTCGGCGACGGGGGTGGGGTAGTGAGCTGGGCGTGATTCAGCGTGTTCCACGCCAGCGCCGCCTCTTCCGAGAGCTCGACGGCGACGGGGCCGCCAGGGTTGTAGCGGGCCCGCTCATCCAGACGCGGGACGAGGACGCGGTGAAACACCGACGCTGTGTAGCGTGCCCCACGCAACGCCCGCTGGGTGCGCTCCGAGGAGGCGCTTCGGCCCGACGCCGCGTTCGGCGGCGCCCCCGCGGCGTACGCCTCGACTGGGCCGCGCGGCATGACGGAGGAGCGTATGGCGTCGTACGGAAGGTGCGGCGCAACGAGGGCCGCCCCTCCGCCTCCCGCGGCGGTGCCGCTGCCGGCTGTCTTGTCGGCCGACTGCGCCGCCTCCTCCGCCGCCTCCAGCGATAAGTCACAGAGACGCTGCAGGGCGTCACGGAGGCCCTCGTTGCGCACAAAGCCGTACGGTGAACTAATCCGCTCAAAGCAGGCACGAAAGCTGCTGGAGATAGCCTGCCCCCGCAATTCCTCGTCCAGGGCGGCCTCAAAGCAGGCGACAAACATGTCCGTCGGCGGCTGCTGCTGCCCCTGCCTCGCCCCGGCAAGGAGTCCGCCGCCGCTGCTACTGCTGTTGTTGTGTCCCACGCCCTTCATATGGGGGGCGGTGTGTGCCATCGACCAACCTCTCTACGTAGTGCGACGCCAAATAGTTGCCTGACCGCAGGCCCGAGGTAGTTGCCCACTCCTACACGCTAGTGGCGCGTCATCGCCCCATCGCCCATGCGGGGCAGCAAAAAAAGAAGAAGAAAGAAGACAGTAAAAAAAAATCAAGTAACACACTAGCGATATATATATATATTCACACGCACATTTTTAAAAAAGAGGGGACGGGGGAGAGGCACACATCACAGGCAGTCAAACAGCCCGCGGGCGCCTTCCCCTCACGAACGCAGGGCGTTTGCGAAGTGTGTGTGTGTGTGTGCGAGGTAGATAGAGAGAGTGCCAAGCATCTTCGGGCTCACGTAGAACGACACCCACCTCCGGCCACTCCTCCAAGAAATAAAAAAAGAAGGGAAAAGGGAAAAATAAGGCAGGGAAAGCGGCAATGCGCATTCACAGGCTGCAGCAAAATGCAGAGGAAAAGAAAAACAAAGAGAGAGAGAGAGAGAGAGAGAGTGAGGAATTCATTGAATTTATGAGGGGTGGTGACAAACGGCGGGGATGCGCTGTCGCACTTCTACGATCATTCATCCTGCATGGCCCGCTCCGCCTGCTGCACGCGTGCCGTGGCGGCCTCCAGCACCCACGGTGGGCAGGCACTGGGGGTTCCAAAGACCACCTCATGCGCACACTTGCCGTTGCGGTGCCACTCCAACACACCGTCCTCGTCGGCGCAGACGTACACGACACGGCCGTAACTGCGGGGCTGGTCGCCCAGCTTCCACTCCTCCTCCTCCTCCTTCTCCCACTCACCCACTCGACTGCCGTCGCCAACGGCGTCGTCCAGGGCGCATGGGATGCCGCCGTGGAATATCTGCACGGCCGCGAACTCGGGTGTGTTTTGCTGCTGCGGCATTTCTACTGTCCTGGCGTCGGAGGTCCCCTCCCGCGCTTTTTGCAGCTGCTCCAGCAAATTGGGGTTCTCCAGCCGCACCACGCGGTGGCGGGCCCCGCTGTAGGAGAGCCGCTCGTGCCGCAGCGTCTGCTCCACCCCACCGCCCATGACGGGTACGGGGTCGGCCATAAGCAGGCGTTGCCGCAGCACCCCGTGACCGGAGGGATCGAGGGAGCCAAAGTTGTCGACGGCGGCCTCGACGTGGTCCGGCTGCCAGAAGCCCAATACAACCGGCGGTCCACGGGCAGCCGCGCCGGCGTCGGACGCATTCCCGCCAGCTGCCTGGGCGCGTCGTAGGAAGATGCGCTCCTGCTCCGCCGTGAGGTTTTGGACGCCGACGAGGTAAAGGTACGGGGCAAGGTAAAACTCCCGGTAGGAGGCGTTGTCCACGTGCGCGGGGGGCGCCTCAAGCACGTAGGAGGCATTGTAGCGACGCGACGCCTGCGATCGCCGGACCGGCCACGAACTACTCTGCGCCGTGTTCACCACGCGGCTCAGTGGCACAGGAAAACGGGCGTGGGCGAGCGGGTAGTACTCAAAGTCGTCGCCCAACCAGCGAACGGCAAGGATCACCTCCCTGTGCCGCTGCTGCATAGCGCGTTGCTGCAACTCGGCGTACATTTCCTCCATCGCCTGCAGCTCCTCGGGCGGCACGCCGGCGGAGACAGGGTCCGGGCGCCCTGTCGCCTCCACAAACTCCCGGATGCGGTTTCGGCGCCGTTCAAACTCCGCTGCGGCGGCACGCAGCTCCGTCCGCTGCTGGGTACTCCGCTCCACCAAGGCCTTGCCGTACTGCTCCCAGCCGTTCGCCTTACGTTCCTTGTAGACCGCATGGCCCCGCGCCACAACGGCGTGGAGGGCGCGAGCGCTTCGCAGCCGCTCCTCCCGCACCCGACGGCAACCCATGAGGGAGCTGAGGCCTTTCTCCACCAGCATGCCGGCAACCGTGCGAGGACCGCCGGCGGGGGCGGGGTGTAGGGGGGTGGCGGCGCCGCCGTCCTCGTCAAGATACCGCTCGATGGCAGCAACCCGCCACCGCCACCCCGCCACTGCCGCTGCGGCGCCTTTTTGCGCGCCGTCCTGCGAAGCCGGCGGGGTCGCCTCATCGCTGCCGTCGCAGCAGTCCACAATGCCGTCGCCAACCCGCGAGGGCGCCAGCCAGACCTCCGGGTCGCCGCGGCAGCGGAATGGGAGCACAGGGCCACCAAGCCGGCGCAGCAGCCGCGCCGTGCGCCGCGCGGACGGCGCCTCCTCCTCCTCGTACAGCCGCACCTGCGCGTTGGCCTGCAGGTATTGCCTCCACCGCAGGTGGGCCAGCGGGCCTACGGCGCCGGACATGCTACAGGCACTTGTCTGCAACTCGTCCGTGCCGTCGAAACAGTCGCAGTAGTCGTCATTGAGCCTCGTGAGGGGAATGACCTGGGCCGCCACATTGCGTTGCTGCTGCAGATGTGCCCGCTCCTCAAACGCGCTTACAAGATATACACGCAGGGTGGGAAACGACGTTGGATCCGTCGCGGCGGCCGCGGCGCAGCGTTCGAGCTTGCTACGGTTGACTTCCGTGCGCAGGTCCAGAAGCCGCGTCCCACAGCGGTAGAAAAGGCGCCGCGGTGCCCGCTGCCGCCCCTGCGCCGGCGCAATAAACCTCGCACTGTACTCCTCGAGTGTGTAGCACGACGACTGCGGTTCGCCTTTGACTTCAGCGCCTTGCCGCCGCTCGGCCTCTGTGGGTGTCGCGAAGTCGGCCAGCCGCCGCAGCGGTGGGGCTTGCAGCGGCGCGGGGTCGGCAACAGCCGTCCCGTCCCACGCGCGCCACTGCCCCAGCGCCGTCTGCCACGAGAGCAGCATCGCAAGCAGCAGGGCGACAACGGCGCCGACCAGCGACCAGAGCAGCAGCGTGACGCCGTCCGACTGCGCCTGCGCTGCCCGCAGCGGCGGCGGCGACGACGTCGCATCGCCGGCGGGCTTCACGGGAGGCTGCGCCTCCTCCCACTTGGTCGTTCCCATCGCACCGTCGCAAAGAAACACACACAAACAGGGAAACGGGAAGTACACGCAAAAGACACGATCTTCCCGCGTATGTGTTTTGCGGGAATGCCTCTTCAGCCGTGTGCGCCTTTGCCGTTGATCTTTATATCCTCTCCGGCGGTGTGCGTGCGTGTGCATGTGTGTGTGTGGTGGGGTGCGACACGCAGTAAATACACACAAAAGCAACAACAACAACAACAACAGGGGTCCACCAGGAATTTCCCAGGGCCCGCGAGCGCCTAGGAAGAAAGAGGGAAAGGGACAACAATCGTCGCACCGACGAAGCCAAGGCAGCAAGGTTCCTTTGTGGCGCGCAAACTCTTTTTTTCTTTCTTTCATTTCCACTGCTGTTGACGGCACCGCGCGGCGTCCCACTCCCTCCACTCAGCGGAAGCGGCAGAGGAGCTTTTCGGTCGTCGCCGTTGGGTTTGCCATGGCGTAGTACGCCTCGAAAGGGTCCTGCACCACGGGGCCGCTTGGCTGCCGCAGCAGCTGGCTCAGCTGCCCCCGCTCCGGCATCTCCAGCGAGCGTAGCTCACCCGCCACGACGTCCTTCACGTAGACGGCGGGCGCCAGCGCGCTGTTTGTCGCGCGTGCCTTGCCTGGCACGGTGAAGACCTCGTAGGTGCCGTCGCCTGGCAGCACAACCGCCGCCCAGTGATCGACGCCGACGCCGCGCTCCGTCGGGTGCCGCAGCATCATCTTGTCCATGTCCTCCACCCGCAGCACCCCGTTGCTCTCACGCTTGTCGTGGTGGGGGCAGAGCAGCCCCGGCAGGAGGCCGAGGCCGTGCACGCGGATGTAGCTCCAAGCCGCACCGTCCTCAACTTCCTGCTGCGGCCGCTGCCGCTGCGCCTCCACCGCCGCCGCCGCTGTTTTGTTGGCGTCGCCGCAGGCCCCCCGCAGCATCGCCGCGGCGTACGTCGCCGGGTCAGCCGAGTCGCTGTGGCCGGAGGTGAACCAGCAGATGGCGCCCGCACTCCCGCCCGCCAGCACGGCGCCGCGCATCGCCGCGGCGCGAAGGCAGACGTCAAGCCCCGTCTCCTCCCAGCGGCGAACGGCGAAGAGTGTGTTGCCGCCCGACACCAGCACAATATGCGCCTGCCCCAAAAACTCCAGCTCCTCCTTCGCGACCTTGTTCGGCGCGGAGAGGTCCGCCACGCACACCTCGCCCACGGTGCAGCCGCGCGACAGAAACCCCTTCGTCTGCGTCTCCTTGTACTCGGGGAGGTCGTAGACGGCGGTGCCAATGTACGCCAGACGCACCGGCGCCGTCAAGGCCTTTGTGCCCGCGTCAAAGTTTCCCGTGAGCATCAGCACACGGTCCACAGCCTCCAGCTCCCCGAACATGTCCGCGCCGGAGCCGCCGAAGAAGCCTTTTAATCTGGACGGTTCAATGCGCGTTATCATGGTTGTCAAGCGCTTTCTTTTTTCCTTTGTATTTTATCTTTCTGTTCCTTGTCGATACTTCTCTCAGAAGCACGAGGGCGGAAGGAGGGTGCGACACTAAGACCAAGGAAAGGAAGAAATACATACACGCACTGTTTTGCCTCTCGCCCAGAGCTCACTCCCAGAAGTGCAGCGAGACCAACAACGACACACTGAAGGAGACGGCAAGCATGAAAAAATGCACCTTGTAATGCAGCGTAACACCGCAATGTGGTTCCGCGTCTACGGTTCCCGTTTCGTCGGCTCCCGGCACGTCATGGGCAGTGTCTCCATGAGTGGCAGCAGTGGGCGCAGGTAGGGCGTGAGCTGCAGCGGCTGGTCCTCGCCGTTGGAAGCGGCATCCCCGCCGTCGTAGGCACGTGAGGCGGGCGGCCCACGCTCTGCCGTCATGAGCACGAGATCCCGCTTTGCTCGGCTCATGGCCACGTAAAACACCCGCCGCTCCTCGGCGCTCCGCGCGTCAATGGGGAACTCGCCCTCGTAGCAGCATGGCACAATGACGGCGAGCCACTCCTTCCCCTTCGCCTGGTGCACCGTCGTCACCGTGACGGCGGCGGCGCCAGGCGTCAGCTCCGCCTTCACGCCGCCCTTCAGCGGCCCAAAATCGTCTGTCGGCAGCAGCGCCAGAAACTCGTCAATCGCGCGCTGCAGCAGGGTGTAGGTGTCATTCCTCACCTGCGCCTCCGCCTTGACGCCGGCGGCCGCGGCCGCCGTGCCCACCCCCTGCTCCGCCAACGCCTGCTGCTGCACCGTGCGACACGCCTCGACGAGGACTTGCGAAATCGACATTGCGCCCCCTTCCGCCGCCATTGCTGCCGCTTCGTCGTCGGCGTCGCCCATGACGTCGTCCCACACCGCGGCGGAGCGCCGCCAGCGCGGGGGCGGGCGTGCACGCTTCCTGCCGCCGTCACCGCCTGCGCGCCGCCGGATGTGGACGCCGGCGGCGCCGCCCTCGTCAAAGCCCGCCCGCTCCGCCACGCCCCGCACGACCTCCTCAATGTCGCAGTACACTCGTCCCAGGGAGTCGTGGGCGGCCGTGGTGACTTCGATAAAGTTGCGGAGAAACTTTTGCTGCGGCTTCGTCGTCCGCAGGCGTTCATGCACATGGGCAAAGCCGTTGTGCACCAACTCGCGAAGGATGGTGTAGTAGGAGTACGCCGCGTGACTGTCCTCGCGCTGCAGCGTCGCCGCGCCCAGTTCGCGCCTTCGCTGCATGCACTCGGCCTGCAGGGCGAAGACAAATTTTGTCGCAGCCGGCGCGGCGAAGTGGTTCGGCGCATCGCGTATCACGCACTCCACGTCAAGGTTCGAGTGTGGGTGCACGCAGAGGCGCAGGTACGAGAGCAGGGCGCGGACCAGGGCGATGGAGTTGGGCCTGCTCAGGCGCGGCTCGCAGACGGGGATGTGATCCTGCTCCAGCGCCGCCACCGCGTCCCGTACAGTGCGTCGCGTGCGGCAAAGAACGGCGATGTCGCCGTACTGCAGGCCACGGTCCCGCGTGCGCAGCAGCTCCTCCACGACGCGCGGCAGCAGCGGCATCTGCTCGCAGGCGTGCGGACACCGCACCAGCACGATGCGGCGCCCGCAATGCCCCCTAAAGCTCTGCTGCGATATCTGCGTGAGCTCGTTGACGGCGCTCACGATCTCGGCGGAGCTGCGGTAGTTCGTGTCTAGCCTGACAAGCTTGGTGTGGGGAAAGCGGCTGCGCCAGCGCTCAAAGGTGTTCGTCGTTGCCCCGCGCCAGGTGTAGATGCACTGGTTTGGGTCCCCCACGCACGTCACCCGACAGGCGTCCCCGGCGAGCAGGGCGAGACACTCCAGCTGCACCTCGTTCAGGTCCTGAAACTCGTCCACGACGACGTGCGTGTATTGCGCCCGCAGCTGCAGCGCCACCGGCGACGGCGGCCGCGGCGGCGGAGCGACACTCGCCACGCTGTTGCTGTTGCTGTTGCTGTCGCCACCCCGCCCCGCCTCCTCCGCCTCGGACGGGGGCTGCTGCTGCTGCTGCTGCTGATTCAGCGGGCGCAGCGCGGCAAGGAACATCTGCTCCAGGTCGCCAAAGTCAACGGCGTGGTGCTGCTCGTGCAGCATTGTCTGGTAGAAGCGAAAGAGATACGCCGCCTGCCGCGTGGGGTCGAGCTCCGTCCCCGCGCGCATCTCCTTCTTCGTCTTGGCCTTGTTCACGTACTCGACGAGCGCGAGGACGGCCTCGAGACCCTTGTGGTGGGCGGCGTGCGTCTCCACCACCGCCGCGGCGAGCTCGCGCTGGCGTCGGGCGTCGTACACCTCCGTCGCCAGGTCGATGCGGCCGTGCCGCCGCAGACACTCGAGCCCAAAGGCGTGGAAGGTCTTCAGCTTCAGCCGCCGCACGTGCGACGCCAGGGCGGGCGGCAGCACGGCGGCCACGCGCTCCCGCAGCGCCTCCGCGGCTTGCCGCGAGAAGCAGAGGCCTAAAATGTGCTCCGGCGCCACCCCGGCGAGGAGGATGTACGCGATGCGGCTCGCCATCGTCAGCGTCTTGCCGCTGCCGGCGCCGGCGAGGATCAACAGCGGCGCCGCGGGGTCCTCGCAGACAGCCGCCCGCTGCGACTCGTCCAGCGCACTCACCAGCCGCTCCCGCTCCGCGGCCCGCTGGTCTTCCTGCTGCGTGCAGCTCCCGGCGGCCGCTGCTCCGCCGCCCGAGTGCATGTATATTTTTTAAATTTTTTCAAACCGCACACTTCACACGGCGGCGGGGGCAGCGGGAGAGGCGTAAAGGCCGACAAACAAGAAAAAAAACAACAGAAACAAAAAACAAGCAAACGGATGCCAGATCCCTTACGACACTGATTGCTTTGGGTTGCACCGCCTGCAGGCACACACCGTGACTGCGGTCCTTGCGGCCTCCCCACACACTCCCCACCCCCAGCGGTCCCAGTGAACGGCTAAGTGAAAGGGGGGCAGCAGGCCAATATTAGAAAGAGAGCGAGAGCGAGAGAGAAAGGAAAAAAAAGATGAGGAATATGAAGTGAAGTTCGGCTTCAACCCCCGCATGACGGCAGAGGCACAAGTATTACAGCTGCAACCCCCCCCCCCCCAGACGCAGCACACCTCCGCGCGGGGGGAAAAGGGGGTCGCAACGGAGAGGTACCCCAAAGACGGTGCAGCTCCCACTGCACAGTGAGGTTTGCTTCCTCGCACCCTCGCGCCGCGTCTCAGCGAGCGACGAGAGCGGCGGCCAACGCACAAAAACTCGGGAGGCGCGGAAGAACATCACACACACACACACAAAACAACAACAACAAAGACAACAACCACGCAGACGGGCACGGCGCGTGCAGCTCATTCGGCACCGAGCACGCGTCCGGTGCCCCAGCGGTGTCGCTGGCCGGCGTTGGCGTCCGGCGGTGGGCGGGCAAACCGCCCGGCCTGCGGGTGAGAGGCGGGGTACAGCGTGGCGACGCCGCCGGGGCCGGCGTTCGGCAGCACGTACCGCAGGAACCACGCGGGTGTGCGGAGGGGGTCGATGCCGTGCGTCCTTGGCAGCACGTCCCTACAGAAAAAAAAACCGTGCCCCACGACGATGCCGAGAAGGTCCTCCAAGATGCTTTGACCGAGAATGAGGTGAAAGACGAGGAGAATCCACGGAAACGTGTTGGCGTGGAACTCGAAGTTGTACAGGTTCATGCGCAGCTCTGGGTGCCGCTTGCAGAAGACCCAGCAGAGCGACATTAGCAAGGCAAAGCTGGTGACGAGCAGGCCAAGCAGGAGGCCGCCGACGGCGTTCGCAAGGATGAGGATGAGCCCCATCC